TCATCTGCCTATCTAAAAGGGTGTAATTAAAGGCGAGCAACTACATATGGATGGAGATATGTGTACGAGGTTTGTAGTTCCTTCCACAGAATATGGCAAACCAATTAGCAAACTCTCTTGGCCAAGTCATGAAATTCAAGGAGCAACTCCCTTAAAATTTTTAAAAATACTTTATTTTTCCAGGAAATATTAAGATGTTTTCATTTTTTATTTCATAAAATTGTTAATTTAAATATCAAAGAGTCTTTTATCTCGTAATTTATGATGAACTTGTTTTTCAGGCAAATTTGTCAAGCTCATCAACCAGTAAACCCAAACACAAAACCCACATTAAGCCTATCGTGTCAGGATTGCGAAAAACTTATATTTTATATGAAGTCATTTCATGTCTTCATCATCAACATGTAATGTATAGCTAAATGGCAATTTTATGTTCAACTTTCTCTATTTCAAAGTGGAAAGGAAGTGTTCAAGATTCCTTAATTAATTATTGAAAATTCAAGCAGTCATGTAATTATGAGTGATACGAAATGATGATGGATAAATGATGTTGAAGTTCTACCTATTCAACGAAAATCAATTACCAAATTCAAAAATAATTAGAATTTGTAATTCTTATTGGGCCACCTCATGCATTAGATCCATTCCCAGGAAGAAAGGTAGGAGCAAGAGGAGATCAAGACCGAAGACTCAATAGAAACCACATGTGAAGTTCTTTGAAAATGGCAGCCACCGACAATTCAACCCATCTTGTGTTGAATATTTATTAATATGAGTATATGAATGAGTTATATACACCTTAATTAATTTCATGAATTCTGACCATAACTATTATATTAGTAATTATAAAATTCAAACATAAAATCATAAAAAATGTTATTCCACAAAACAATATCTTTTTCTAAAAATAAATTTTTAATATTTTTAAAACGTTTTAATATGTTGGTATTAAAAATAATTTTTTTAAAATAAAAAATATTATTTTAATATATTTATAAAAAATACTTTAAAAAATAATTGTTGCTAAACCTACAAACATTCTCTAAATCTTTTCAACATCATTTTTGTTATCATAGCCATGCTTGCATTGTCAAATAGAGACTTAACCTTACAATTTGTGAAGGTTACATAAAAAGTTGCCTTCATATTAATAATCTTTTGTCTTTATTTCTGCAATAGTCCTCAAAATTACGTATGAATTGGGATAGTTGTAATAATTATTTTTTAATTTTTTATTTAAAAATATTTAAAAATATCTTTTAAAAATATCTTTAATATCAATAAATCAAAATAATCTAAAAACATTAAAAAAATATTTAAAATTCAAAATTTATAATTTATAATTTTTTATTTTAAACCTTGTCCAACCAAAATAAATGCTAATTTCTAGCTAAACATCAATCTTGATATATTTATATAAGCGAGTAAATTATCTAGTAAGTATTTTAGTGGTAAGAATTTAGAATTAAAAAATTTAATTTTTTTATGATTTCATGTTTGAATTTTATAATTGCTAACAAATTCATGAAATTAATTGAAGTGTATGCATATATTTATATTAATAAAAAAATAAAAAAATTGTGAGCAGACGTGGAAAAAACAAGGAGAACAATTCTACCCTATCATATTGTACTTAATTACCACTGTATGTCTTGTGAAAATTGTATCTGGTCTCTTTACTTAAATTGGATGGTCCCTTTGTGGCGAAGATGATATTTCTGCAAAGATCATGTTTGTTTGTATTCACTACAAGGACATAGTTTTACTATTATATATTAATATTTTGTAGTTTTCAAATTTAAAAGTAAATATTATAATGTATAACAAATATTAGATATTAATATTTTCTAGTTTTTCCATTACCGAGCATACCCTAATCATTATTTTCTATATATATGCTGTTTCATATAAAAACAAAATTACATATATAAAATTAACATGTTTACTTCTTGGATTAAGCTGTCTAGAAAAGATTTGCTCGAAATTAAATGGTAAAAAATATGTTTACATTCTCCAATTAGAATGTTTTTGACAATTAAGTGAACAATTAATAAAAAATTAATCCCTGTTCTAAAATTTAAAAAACTTTAGACATAATTTTAGTAATAATTTTGAAAAGACAGTTGACCGTGTTTTTTAGAAATTTAAATTAGAACAATAAAATAAAAATATAGATAAAATAGTATGATTTTTACATAAAATAAAATAGTAATGTTTATATAAAACACCATTAAAAACCTCAATAGTACAAATTGTTCATGACAACTCATGATGTCATGATTTTGAATTGCAACAACTTGCGAAGAACCATAGCTTTTTTAAATGTTGTGATTGCCATGATAAATGTGAAATTTAACACAAAATTAAAATAGAGATCAAAACTTAAATAATAAATCTAAAAAATACTGAGAAAAATAACAAAAATAACATAAATAATAACTTCTGAATCTAATTTAGATCTAATAAACCAGTAAATAACGCAATGCTTCTCACAGGAAAACTTTATATAGAATTGTCTGAGAATATTTAAGGATTCAACAGTTAGTTTCCTGTCATCTTTGTTTTAAAATCAATATATACTATGAAATAAATTTGTTCAAACCCTGTTTTTTTGAGAAAATAATTCTCGTTTCTGATTGGCCAACTATTACTGGACAATCTTTCCGCATCTATAAATAAGGGGTCACTTCTTTATAGGGTCGAACTACTCAAATTCTTTACATGCAAAGCATATTCATTCGAATATAGTTATCGAATATGAAGGTATACAAACTTCTTTCTCCTGCCTCAAACTACATTCCATAATATCTATTCCCATTTTTTTTTTATTATTTTAAAAGTTTTGTGCCCATTGAAGTTGCTCCTTCCTTTAGCGGCTTTAGCTGAGAAACATAGATGTGTATAATTTATATGTTTTGTTCCAAATTCTGCAGCAAAAAATAGTGATCAAAGTGCAAATGCATTGCGAGAAATGTAGGACCAAAGCCAAGAAGATTGCTGCCACGGCATGTGGTTAGTATGCATCACGTCCCACCATAATTTCATGACTTAATTAATTACCTAGCTCTATACCTTGCCATGTCAAGAAACTAAACCCAATATTATTATCTTAATTAGAAAACATATTAAGTAGAGATAAACATCTCAAGCTGTTCTCGTGCGTTTCTAGGTGTAACTTCGGTGGCGCTGGAGGCAGCCAAAGATCAGATAGTGGTGATCGGAGAGGAAGTTGATTCGGTTAAGCTGGCAAAGTCACTAAGGAAAAAGGTTGGCCATGCCGTTTTGATGAGCGTGCAAGAAGAGAAAGAGAAAGATAAAGGTAAAGATGAGAAGAAAGGAGATGATAAACAACCAACCCTATGTCAGATCCCATACTGTTATCCACAACCTCCACCATATACAGTGGTTTGTGAATCAAATCCTAACAATTGCACCGTATTGTGAGAGCCAAATTCCCTTCTCTGAGCCTAGCAGGATTCATATATTTCTTGGATGTTGTCTCGTCTAGAGCTTCTCTGGTGTCACCTAATTGTACCCGTAATTTGGTTTTCCCGAAGACGAATTCTAGCAATTGTATTAAACAACGTTTTCTATTTGTGAAATTAATATATGCATGGTTTACAAGGAGGATTTCATCTCAGTGTATAAGACAACGTTCATGCATGAGGTCTTCTTTTTCTTTTTCCCCCCCTTCACTTCAAGAGATTCTGAGGTACAACATTAATTTAATGATTATAAATAATTTGCATTAACTTTTTAGTCCAATAACTACTGCGGGATATTTTTTTAGTCAATCTCCTCGAAAAGTTTTCAAATACAGAAGACAGAAGACTATCCTAAAATATCTCATCACATTGATCATAAAATGGGATGTCTCGACTAGAAAATAGAAGAGGAAGACGAGGGGGGGGAGGCGGCGCGCAAAATAAACAGTAAGAAGAAAGTATGCATTGTTCTATCACAAAAAAATGTGCTAAATGTAAAACAAGAAATCCTGTTTTCTTGAAGATAACTAATTGACATCCATAATATATATATATATATTAAAAAAAGATTGACCATGAAAGTCGTCGTCAACTAGTCTATTATATATATATATATATATATATATTTAAAAAAGATTGACCATGAAAGTCTTCGTCAACTAGTCTATTTGGAGGCTGCAAAATTGACACGATAATATAATCCCAACTTGATAAGTATCACTGGCTTGAATGACTGAGTTCATGGATTAGATAGAAACAAGAGATAGAGCATGATTGTTTTAATGTTTCAATAATATTTTGAAAAAATTTAAAAGTTCTGTATTTTTTTAAATTAATATTTTTTAATATTTTAAAATTATTTGATGTGTTGATATCAAAAATAATTTTTTAAAAATAAAAAATATAATTTTAATATATTTTCAAATAAAAAATACTTTAAAAAACAATTATAATTATATTTTTAAACCATCATAAAAGATAAACTCGAAACTAAATGCAAATACCCTTGAAAATGGCATCTGCCAAAAAAATCAGCCCATCTTTAAAGTTGAAAAACAGGCTCCCCACCTAACATTAATGCAGAAAACTTTGCTGGCCGAACATCGATCTTGATGTGTTTGCATAAATTTCCATCGTAACCTTTTCAACATTGTTGAAGCTAAGAACATGAGAGCACATGTAGGAAAAAAAACAAAAGCGTCTCCGTCCTATTATTAATGGTTTGGCTTTATTGTAGCTACCAAGCTTTAAATTGTATTGTAATTATGATATTCTAATGTCCTTGAAGCATCAAAGAACTGCCTTGGCCCATCGGAAGTAAACGGTTCCTCCCAATCTTAAGGCCCATACATGCATGGACCTTTCAAAAAAAAACATGGGAGCGTAAGGCCACAAAAGAATTATTTTGATGACTTTCAAGAACATTAGAAACCTTTTCACAATGATCGACATTTTACCCATTTAAATGGGCTAAGAGGTCCAAGCCCTATTATCCCCGTAAAATTGCATGCATGGGTATTAAACCTCGTCTAGCTAGTGACCCGGCAATTTGAAACCTACAAATAATGCTTTGAAATGCCTTATATGTTGATATGGGAGCTAGCGGCCTGTAAAATTTGATAAAATCCGACCTTAAAAGTACAAACCCTTTCTTGATAATTCGCAAGAGAACGGAATTCAAAGACAGCTTACGGTTAGATACACTCCTCGACGAAATAGCGTGGCTGATAGAAAGAATCACACAATGGAAGCAAATGGTATTGAGCAGCAGCTCCTCTACCAAGTTATATCAGTGGATGGAGTGGGGGATGCCAAGTTTGGATCACTTGTCTCAGTCGTAAGGTAAGAAAGAGCCACTGAGGACTACACCGCAGAAATTCTTTGAATTAAAGAAAAGCCTTTCCCGGAAAACATTGTCGGAATGGAAGAGTTATCCTTGATTGACGAGCTTAGGAAATGCCGAGTACCAGAACGATATTTTGGTGCACTTGGTGATGCATGGGAAGTTAACTCTTGGGAAGATGTGGAGTTAGAAATTGTAGTGGTAGTAGAATATTGATGTTGCCAGATATCTTCCGTGATATATTCATGTCCAATATCGTATGGAACATCTACCTCAACATCAGGCAGGGGAACTCTTTTGCCAGAAGGCATTCAAGGATGAGTTTGATAGGCGGTGTCAAAAAGGCTTGGAGGAATTGTCTCTTGTCATTATTAGAAGATGCGGGGCGTTGCCACTCGCAATTGTGGCTATCGGCGGACTCTTAGCAACGAAAGAACTGGTTGTTCCATAATAGAAAAGGTTACTTGATATATATATGATAGTCTTGGCTGAACAATTGGGAAAATTGCTACCTTTAAGGTATATGAACTTAAGAAATAACTTAGTGTCAAAACCTCCAAAATCATAACCTGGAGTCCTTGGATCTGAGATGTTCTTCAGTGGAAGCTTGAGTAGCTCGTTCAGATTAATAGGTTCCCGAAATTGCGACGTGTTCTGGGGCTTTCTAAAAAGAGAGTTGGGTTGAAGATACATAGCAGCATTGGGCATTTAGACTTCATACGAACAATGCTTGTAGCAGTTTTGCGAGACTAATTACTGAGCTAAGAATGCTGAAGCAATTGAGAAGATTAGGGATATTGTATCATGGAAAAGAGATACGGAAGGGTTCCATGCACTGCATTGGAGGATATATCTCTCAGCCAGCTACGGGGATGAAATTCTTGAAGTGGAATCAATCTCTTCTCCTCAAACTCTCAAACTTTGGCGGCCATTAGAAAGGTTGTTAGTTTGAATTTCCTGATCGTCTACGAAAATGGTCGACCATGACTCTGTACATCAATGTATATGTTTGGTTGTTTTGTGACTATGCTTGTGGAACTTGTTTTCATTGTTAATCTTGTTGATATTGGTTGTGTTTTGTTTCTTCCTTCTCTGGAATCTCCTTGTAATAATTTCTTAACAATAAACTTTGATGAACCTGTTGAAGTAATCAAAAGATCACAAACTGAAAGATTAAAAAATATAATAGGATTGTGAAATTGAAAAGATACCAATTTGATAGATGATTCAAGATAAAAAAAAATCATAATAAAAAAATGGAATAAGTACAGAGGGGAATCTAAGTACAGAGGGGGAGACGACGGAGTTGATGAACCTATTGAAGTAATCTGAATAAACTAAATCTGAAGAACCAATAAAATAAATGAATGTTCTTGAATGTTATCGGGGTTGGTATGGAAATCTAAGTACAGAGGGGGAGACGAGGGAGTTGATGAACCTATTGAAGTAATCTGAAGAGCAGTCGTCGACTCCAAACTGTCATGAATGGTGGCAACGCCTCACCTCATGGGGCTAGGAATGCCGATACCTTTCAATTATTGTCTAGGAACGTGGCTTTTGCTTAATGGATGGCCCCTAAAGCATCAATGGAGCAGCGCAGGGGCCATCTACATGCCGGCGTGTGTGCAGGTTTGTTCTTACAACCATACCCTTTGTGACCCTTGAAATTTACAAAAAAAAAAACAAGTAAAATGATAAAAAATAATCCAGAGAGTTTAATTGATTTTGTTTTTAAAAGTGAAAGTAAAATGATAAAAAATAATCCATTAAGTGAGAGTTTAATTGATTTTGTTTTTAAAAGTATCGTAGTAATTATAAAATTCTATAAAATAAAAAAAAATAAAAAAATGTATTCATATAATGGACATTGGATTATTTAATTCTAGGTCAAATGAGTAATTTTATTGTTCATTTAAAAATACAATTTCTAAAATAACCACATACAATCCTTAAAAAAATATTTATGCCATGTTAATTACAAAAGACCAACCGACAACCAAAACCCAAAATCCAAGTTAAAATATTAAATCAATAAGGGGCAATATAATAATTATATTATTATAATAAATAGTTAATAAATCTTGGAACACAGGAATATCACCGTAGTAAGCTTTAGTTGTCGGTATAACAAGTGGCATGACATGTAATTGCAAAAAAATAAAATAAAATAGAAATGGAAGGGAAGAGAAGGGATGGAGAAAGGAGAGGTGACGTATAAAATTATAAATATCTCTATGCAATATTCTATGAATTAAGAAGTTTTCAAGAGACATAAAAAATCGAGATTGATAAATTAAGAAAAGGATAAGTTGATAGGTTAAGGTTGTTGCGTGCTTAATTAAGATCAATTCATTTATTTGTTGACAAACACAAAGATGATCTCTTGTTTTATCAATGCTTAATTAATTGTGCTATGCTGACTCTCTTTGTACCCCCCATGGGTACAAAAAATGAATTGGGTCGCCCCCATTAAGATGATACAATTCCAACCACCCACAAAAGAATCTGAATACTAAATAAGATATATAGTTTTTTTTAAAATACCCTTTAAATTTAAATCGACTCAAGATTAACTCGGTAGGCCTATGCGTGATCTAAATTCTAGTTTTTTTTTTTTAAATAATTTTTTATTAACTTGAAATAACCTGCTCAAGAGTTTAATGATTTTTACTATTAGAAATAAAAATAGAAAGGAGAAGATATTTCACGATTGAAATAGTTAGGGGCCGCTGAGAGTGGGGTAACAAAACCGGTCCGCTTGAGATGTTCTTGAGGAATCATGGAAGAGATGTAAAGCAAGATTAAGGGATGATTTAGGTGAAGATCGATTTGCTAATCGGTCTATTTCTTGCTTCCAAGTGTCCCAAAGGCTGCCCTACGCCAACCACCTTTCCAACTTTGACGTGCAAGTTGATGACAGACTTGATTGGTCTCAAGGAACCAATTGTCTTCTTCCTCAATGTTTTCTTAATGCAATGTCGTTCTCAGACACATATGAAGGTAACTGTTAACAACAAACAGAAGAAAAACTATGAGGATAAAATTTCAAGGACAAAACTGAAGATGAGACAGGTTAAGAAGAGGTGAAAGAGAGCACATATGTTATTTCTCGAGGGAAATAATTAGCCTACAGAATAAACAATAAATTGGTATTTGGTCATGCCATCTTGAAAACCTGCTACGAACGAACTTCCAGCCCAGAATAGCCATCTTCCTAGTTGCAGCCTCCTCGTGTAATTATAGATGTCTGAACCTGGCCGAGATCCGGTGCTCGGGTTGCTCGGATTACTATATAATTCCAAATTAATCTTGATATAATGTAGTTTTTAATAATGAAAAAATAAAACAAAGTATTGAGAAAAACATATATTGGAATTGATTTGAGCGGATTGCAACCTACATTTTACCATATCAATATACAGAACAATTCAAAACAAACTCAGCCCAAGTTAGATTCTAAGTTGGTAAATCACAAACAAATTATTAAATTATACCGAGTTTAATAACTTTGCTAACAATCCATATTTACCTGTCAGAAAATTACAACTAATTACATATTTAGTAATGCACTTTCATATTTTTATTTGATTGAATAAACATGACATTATAAATTTTCATGTAAAAAAATTTATTTGAATTTTGGGTTATATTTTCTATAATCCACACTGGTATACCAAATTACATGGTGGGTTAATGTTATTTTAAAAAAATATATTAAAAATATAAAAAAATATTTTAAATCCTTTGAGTTTAGTGATAATGCTAAACTCAAGAACCTTGAGTTTAGTGGTCATATCAGACTTACAAACTTGAATTCAACGACCGAGTCAAATCTAAAAATAACTAATTAAAGAGTATTGACCACTAAAAAATGTTTTATATGTTTCTTGGGAGCTACCTATTTACTGAAATATATAAAATATATATCAACAACTTTTTAAAATTCATGTTATTTAGTTTTGTCTATAATTTTTTGTATGTTTTAAAATGAAAGATATTAGAGATGTATTTCTTGAAATTCAACAAGATCAACTAAATTAGGGATATAAATTTAATTTGGATGCATAAAATTTAGTTCAATATTACCTATTACCACCTAATACCACCTAATACAAGAAAGAAAAAAGTTTAAAGAAAAAGGAGAAATATCCTACAAAATGAAATTAGGTCCTCCTTTCACCCATAGGCCACTTCAAATGATTTTGTCAATCAAGTTACCAATCGATGTTAAGATGATCCAATAAGTCCACACCTAATCCATGTGGTGTAAAAAAAACAAGAAATTTTGGACACATAACCTTACGGATATTGCTTGTCAAATAAATTTAGAATATATGTATCTAACAAACACACACCTGTTATTCAAACTCAAACCAAATTCAACACCCACAAATCTTGGTAGCTCCCATGGCTCTATTCAATAAAAAAATGAAGAAAATGATGATTCAAATCAAAACCTCTACACTAGCCACTCATGTTTCCCATCAAGTATCCGACCACCATATTGGAGGGGGAGGGGGAGATGCACATTCACACCCCATTAATTTTAATCTAACCCCACAGACAGCCATAAGCAAATACATATCTTCAAATCACTGCCTAAGTGTAGGGTTGTGATCATTTTGAATGTCATTATATAGATTACTTGTAATCCTGGGACTTCTAAAGGATTCATGTTTGGCTGTCCCACGAATAGATACCTTTCTTGTCCACCTCTCAAAGCCTCCAATCAAAATGGGAAATTTAGAGTGTAAGTTGCAATATTTTAATTTTTGCAAGAAACAAACGAATCCAAGATTCCACCCTTTTTTTTATTTTTTCAATTTCCAATGAATGCTCCCACAAGAATTTGCTTTCTCCTCCAACCCTACTTTACAATAAAATATTTTATACACTATTTATTTTTATATTTTAAAAATGTTTTAAGAAAATTTAACTTTTTTTATTTTTTTAATTTAAATTAATATTTTTGTGATATATTTAAATTAGTTTAACTTACTATTATCAAAAATATTTTTTTAAAAATAAAAAATATATTATTTTAATATATTTTAAAATAAAAAATATTTTAAAAAATAACTATAAATACTCTCCCCAACCCACTTTAGTATTGAAAATGCTTCAGCGACACTCCCCACCCCACTTTAGTATTGAAAATGCTTCAGCGATGATATATTCACTTTGCTTTTCACCGATTGTGTTTGCAACCTATTATTAATTATTATTATTATTACTATCTGGTTTCTAAGGGGTAGACGCATAGAAGTTTGATGATCAAGATGTGATGAGAATCATGAGATCATGGAATTTGATGCTTACACATCAGAAAACCACGATGTTGATGAAAGCTTCTCCCATGCATGCTTTTCTTTTTTCCCTTCATCACTGCCGCTGATTTGTATTCCACACCTTTGTAGATATTATCTATACTCTTCAAACTCTCCAAGATTACAAACATTGCTTCAATGGATTAATGAAATCCTACGCATCTTTCCATTTCAAAATAAGAAATTTAATATGAATGATGTTACGTTAAATAGTTCATTTTTATGCAATACTCGTTGTGTATAATGAGTTCATAGTATCATTTTCTCTTAAAAGGAGAGGTGAGCTTTGAATAGAATATGAGAAATGTATCCAAGGATCCGTTCAAATACTAAACGGGGCTAAGATTTGAAGGAGATGAATATGATCTTAACATGGTATGAATCAAATTCTTTTATGTAGACGAGCCATCCAAGGAAAATGCAAATGAATCTTTAAGCACTTGACAAACACAAAGAATAAATGATATTCCTGACTTGGAAGCTTAAAAAATGTCAAAACAAATTCTTTTCCTCCTCAACCACACAAGTAAACCTCCATGCACACACAAGCACATGAAATAAATAATTTATTGAAGGAAGAAGGATGTCGTCTGTCTTCAATCTTATATCATAATGGAAGAAAAACAAACCAAACGATAGCCTTTACATTAAATAACACAAGCTCCCTTCCTCCCTTCCTCCCTTCCTTGCTTGCCCGCCCTTGAAGTGCAGTGTAAGCCAACAAAAACATCACCCCTCTTAATTTGTCTCTCTCTCTCTCTTCCTGCTTAGCAAAAGAAGAAAAAAAAAATTAAAACTTCACCATCAATGGCGTAAAGCAACACCAATCAAAACCCTTGCGTGTCCGAAATCATTGAAAAGCAACTAAACCAAGAACAACACCCCAATTTCTAACTTTCTTTATATGTTTTCTTTAATGAAGATATGATCACCTCATATCAAGTGCAAGGTGAAAGTAGAGTGTAGTATAAAGGATTTGAACAGGAAAGATAGGTTTCTGACTGTGACGGTGACTGTTATCATTGTTTGTGTCCTTTTTCTTTTGCTTTTTTATGGTTATGTTTACGAGGAGTGGTCAAGATAGTTGTAGTTCTAGTAAAGAAAAAGAAGATTTTTGTAGAAGTAGTAATCCTGGGAAAGGCAGGGGAATATTTTCTTGATGGGAGGATATTTGATTGTATCCATGAAATTACAGTGGCTCTTGCTTTTGCTAGGATGACAGATTCTTCTGCTTATAGAGTTGAAACCACTTCTCGTCTTGCTCAATGGAGGATAGACAATCTTGCTTCTTGTACTTATCGGAAATCAGATCCTTTCAAGATTGGCAAGTGGAATTGGTTAGTACTTTCTTGTTTTCCTTTTCTGCATCCATGGGTTGATTCCCTACAGTAGATTGTGTAGTTTATTGTTCTGTTTCAAGAAGATAGAATTTTCCCTAGAGTCTTGTGTGATTGTTGTTCACTTGATTTTCGAAAAGCTGGTTTCTTTCACTGGAAATTTAGGATCTTTTTGTCAGTTCTTTTGCTGTTGCTGTTGTTTTTCTCTGTAAGTGGGAATTGATGATCTGAGTGTCCTAGAAATGGGTAATTTTGAAGTGGGATTTTGGGGGTTTTTCAATCCATGTGGAGTGGTGAGACTGTAGCTTTGGATAGGATGTGTGAGACCAGGAGTATGGTCAATGGCAGAGACAGGGTAGGCACATGTTTTTGCACATTGATGATCCTTTGCTTGGTTGCTTATAAATTTTGTTGGTAAGAACGAGAGAGTAAGATAGCTATGATTTATTAAGGTACTGTGAGTTTCTTTATTGGCCATTATTTTCTTGTGATCTTGCTAATATCAGATGAGTTTAACAATTTTTTTGGATTGAAGGCATCTATCTGTGGAGAAGAACCGGGTATTATTTGTTAAGTTGTATCCAGAGATATCGAATCTAACGCGGGAAAATCCTCCAATTGCTTCATTTATTATTCGAGTTGTTTCTTCTGCTGGAGATCGCAAGGCTTTGACTCATCCAGGTAATAAATTGAAACTCTATCTTCAGTTTTTAGATACTTTTCTGTGTTTCTAACTTGTTTTTCTCCAATGAAGATGGAACACGTGCAGTTAACCATCTTGAATTTCATACTTCTGACCCTTGATTTGAATTCTAAGTTGTGATCTACCAACCATTACAAAATTCATGAGTTGCGGAGTGAATGACATAGATGATCTATACCCTCGATCAAATGTTCGAAGTTGTGATCTACCTACCAATACATTATTTATGAATTGGTGAGATGGAAAAGCAAATGACAAACATGATCATAACAGTGATAAACCATAACTTGAATCTGCAAATGATGTGGTAATTAGTGCACTGGGAGCATGCTATCCTATGCACATGTGTGTTTTGCCGCTGAGGATAAGGCAGTTTCTTGTGTGTGTTTGGTATTTTCTGACAAAATGCTCAACTTCATGTTACTCTCTCAGTTTTATTTTAAATGTATTCCTGCAGAGGTAACGGATAAGCAGCTCAAGAACAACGACGATTTTGTCTGGGCAATTGATGTTCCTTTAACAACAGGGAAATTCATTATCGACGTTGAATTCCTTGATTTGAAGGCAGCATCTCCAGGGGTATGTTTCTATATTGGCTGGCTTATCAATAGAAAGAAAATTTATATCCTTGATAACACAAGAGATGGCAATGCACCTGTTATTTGAATTCTCTATACTGTAACCAATGAGTGTACCACTCCCATTCTACCAAACAGAAAGAGTGTTGCTACTATACCTTTATTTTAAAAGCTGCTATATGTCATTAAATATACAGGGTGGAGAACCTTGCTCGATCTGGGACGAAGAAACCACAGAAAAGCGAGCAAATGCAACAGCTCTTGTGTCACTTGGTAGAATGTTAACAGAAAGCATCCACACAGATATCAAAATTATTGTTTCTCATGGAAGCATTGGAGCCCACCGTGCTGTTCTTGCTGCCAGATCGCCTGTTTTCCACAGCATGTTTGCTCATGACCTGAAAGAAAAGGAACTGTCAACCATAAATATATCTGACATGTCAATTGAAGCATGTCAGGCTTTTCTTAATTACATATATGGGAACATCCAGCGTGAAGAATTTCTTGTCCACCGTTTGGCACTTCTCAGTGCAGCTGATAAGTATGATATTGCTGACTTGAAAGAGGCATGCCATGACAGTCTTCTGGAAGATATAGACACAAAGAATGTACTTGAGAGGCTACAAAGCGCATCCTTATATCAATTGCCGAAACTGAAGACCAGCTGCCTGCGGTATCTTGTGAAGTTTGGTAAGATATTTGATATTCGAGATGATTTCAATTCCTTCTTGCAATGTGCAGACAGGGATCTGATAGCTGAAGTCTTCCATGAAGTTCTCAATGCCTGGAAAGGATTCTGAAGACGATAGTGTGGTTAAGTCAGTTGTATTTTACAAAATGGGTGTTTAGAAAATTTAGTGTGCACAATTTGTTGCCATCAAGATTATTCTTTGTTCAGAATGAATTTGTCGATGCCTTCATGTACACATATATTGGATTGCGTGACATGGATCTTCTATCCGAGGATCATGTATTCATGAACACAATGATTTGAATGAAATGTAAATACTTTGATAATATGATTCAAATTTCAAAATAACTTCTTTTAGTTTTTCTTCTAAAGCAGATGGCACAGGTATACATGAAAGTCATGTGAGAATGATCTAATATGATTTTCCCCGGCTATCAAAACTAGCTGCCTTTTTGAATTGTCAGGACATGAATATTGAGTCAAACCTGGTTTATCATGAATATAATCATGCAAATGCTCATAAATTCAAGAGTTGAACCCAGATCAGCTATAAAGCTCATAAGAGCATCATCAGGCATGATTTCACCAAAAATCTTCCGTTAATTTGCAGCCATGATTTCAACCCATTGTTACTCCTGTCCAGCCTCTCTTCAAGCCGTGTTTCCATCTCATTGTAGCTAGAATTTGTGCGAGTTTGTCTCCAAACTCAACTCAAGGAAGCAAACTTATCGATCAAATTATGCTAATATCAGCATCAATGATGGAAACAGGCAGGAGCAACATCATTAGGTCCTAAAAGTAAACAGATTCTGCTACTTGGCCTTCGTTTCCAATTAGAACTCAGAAAACACACCATAATTTCACACGCAAACCATGGTTCTTTGCATTAATCTAGTCAATTCATTGTTGGAATGAACATTTAACACAAGAACACGTCATGACATTGATAGAAGATCTTCTCATGGTCAGAATCCCAAGTCTAAAATAAGATGTAACATAAACACAACGAGGTAACATCAAAATGAAAAAGCAATATGCTTATTGTTCAAGTGGCACAACAACAAATGATTATGCAACAAGAAAAGCAATATTTTTTTTTTGTAAATATTCCAGGAATTTCAATAGTAAAAGCATAGCTAAAAAACTAGAAACGTCTTTTCATAAACAAGGAAACTGAATAACATGACCAAAACAATAACAAAAAAATACAAGCAAAAGGTATGTTATATATCCTCTAGGGCAATGAACTCACCTCCTCTTAGAACATCTTTTGAGGACCACTTCATATTGATTTTGAAACCAAAATCTAGTGTTCTTTAAATTGCCAGAGACCAATCATTGCAAGGAATTCTTGTAGGAGTTGGTTAGTAAATAAAGAGAGAGGTGGAGGGAACAAGCAACCACTTGCAAGAATGGGAATATGGAGGGAATATTATTAGGATCTCTTCATTGAATTTTTTTGGCACCTCTGTAAGCCATAGCCCAAGGTGTTAAATTTAGTTTTTGGGCTATGGAGACCCTTTTATTTGATTAGTACAAACTCAACAAAAATATTCATGTAAGCCCAACAAGAGTTGATTCGAAGACCCCTAGGCACTTGTCTAACATCGCAAGGCATCTCCTTCCATCTCAACTATACCATCCTATGTGTTCTCAAGTTATGGGTTGTTTTTTCCTCCCTGGAGAAATGAATTTGTTTTATAGAAAGTATGACGATTTTGTTTAAAACTTGAAAGGTGAGTTTAGATGAAATACTCAATTGAAAATTGCTGTATATTTTACTGAATTATTGTATATAATCCGAAGATCTAGGGTTCATAGAAATTGGATGTATGGTGATTTTATTTGAATACAATTTAAAATTTAGTATTTTTATTTTTAATATATTAGTGTTGAATCGAGAAAATAAAAATAATAAAACAAGTCTTAGTTTATATATAGTCAATTATACCTAAAATAGGTTCGAAAACCACCATTTATATACTTAACGCGCATTGTAACACCATGGAGTGGTGCTAAAACATGCAAGAACAAAAAAAGAAAAAAGTTGTGGCATCTACGGACATTTTTAGGTTTATTTTAAAGTTGATTTCATCTCAAGTTGTGGCTTAATTTGGGTTTGATCTTCTTTATCCTTTGTCATTATTTCACTTCCTAGTTTTTTTTTTTTCACGTTGATTCTTTTGAAAATATATTTAGATATAGGTTTTAAAAATAGGTTATTACAAATATGATCAAGGAGGCATCAAACCAGCCAATTAATATTCTTTTAATTAATTATTTATATTTATATACATAAACACATTTATAGGAAGGAAGAATATCAACTTGACAGCATATCTCATTGACATGTTATATCCTCCATTAAAATTCAGAACGGGCAATGCTTTCTTCTTATAATAAATAATGGGATTTCTTCTAAATAAAGTAATATAATTTTATTCAATTATAGTCCCCCAATCTTTATTTTAGCAATTCATGAGTTGGGCCTTGAAAGCTGGCTATGCCAGAAAAGAGGTATGGAGGGGAGGGAATTTATTGCATTTATGGAGTCAGAATCATCTTACATTCATGGTGAGTGGGTGCATGGTTCCAGATTTGGGGATTCTTGGACATCAAATTCCTAAGATTTATTTATTTTTATTTATTTAAGGCAATTTGGTGTTGTGAATTTTCCCTCTTTTACTCAGTTTTTAAAAGCTAGGCTTAGTGGGTTTGTTTTTTTTTCTTTTTTGAGGATTGGGGGGCCTAGTGGGTTGGCTAATATTACCTTTTAGGTGTATGGTTTTGAGCCCTCTTGATCCTATGCCTACTTATAAAGAAATCTAAAGATATTTTAGGGTTAGCTAAAGTATTTACCAAAATAAAACTTAATCATGATAATGAAATAAAGTGGATATATCTTTTTATATTTTATGTTTTGAAAGTTATATCACCAACATATTTAATTTAATTTCTATCTCTCCAACGAAATATTATTATGTTTTTTATGTGAATGTATTATTGAATACTAATCAAATATAAAGAATTTTATGATATTTAAGAAGTAATAAGTTTCATTATATTAATTACTTTATAGAATATAGAAAATGACTACAAGAATATCACTAGTTATTTACCGAAATAAACTAAGAACACCCTATAATTTCTTTTATATAGTTAGTATCTTCAATGTTCATGCTCTTGGAATTATTTCTTTTTAAAAAGCTAATCTCATTTTCCAACCTTTCAACTCTTTAATACAAAGTTTCTGAATTGAAATGATAAATGAGTGCATTTGCCATGTCGAACATGAACAAGTTCAAAGCCATATCGCACATGAATAACTTGAAGGACATAATATCCATGCTTCGAAACAGAGTATGGCAGAATTTTGGGCTCAAATTTATAGAATGCACTCGTACAAATTGTATGCAGAAGCCGTTGATGATTATTGAGGCATGAATTCTGCATTCAAGACCGAAACTATGATGGGTTCATGGCATGTTCATCTTATCTAGGGTTTGCTCTTTTTCTTATTTTTTTTCTTTTTTTTAAATCATGTGGGCTTGTTTGGGGGTAACATATCGTTTTTCAATCATGATATGTTCATGATATAGCTCATTTTTCATTTATTAGATTCAATAAATGTTATTAAAGGCTTCCTTGAGGATAAATCAAAGAGATCCTTGAAATGGTTTTTTTTCCCTTCAAAATTTACAAATTTATGGTTTATTTTTCACTATTTATTTTCTCAATGCCATGCCAAAATGGGATCTTTGACTTGAGATGTTGAGGATCATTGCGTATCAATAATTTGATTCTCTATTTATTTTTTTTTATCACCCGGGGACTTGTCTTTTACTTACTTTTGGATTAAAAAAAATGAATGAAGAACTATCTATATACTAGAAGACATTTCAATCACATTTTATTTTTATATTGAAAATTATATATAATTGTGTTTTAAAATTATATTCGGTTTAAAAAAATATTGAATCTATAGTTTTAGTGTTTTGTGATGATTTTAATATGTTGTTATGAGAAATTAAAAAACCTAAAAAATATTTAAATATATTTTTTTAAAAAAATCTATATTATAATAATAAACACATAAACACAAGTATTGAAGCACAAAGCCTTAAAAAAAAACACGAAGAGTCATTCAACTTTGAAGTGCTTAAAAGGCAGAGAAAAAAAAAAACTGATAACCCTAGGTATGTCCTCCTACTCAGTTTCCGCTTTAAATTAGCATATATTGTTTTCATGTTTTTTACAATATATATATATATATATATATATATATATATTGACTGTGGGGGAGGTCAAAATACAAGATAAAGAAATTAAATAAATAAATGAAATGAAATCCAACCATATCACAACTGCAATAATCCTTAAAGGGAAACGTAAATTGAATGAAAGGGTATTTAAATTATGGCTCTTAAATCACTTGCTTACAAAATGCATGCATTCCGTTCTAGTCCATCTCCATCCAAATTCAAAAGATCTTTGCTTCCTAAAACCAATCCATCAAAATACAGAGTATAAAAACAGAGGAAAAGCAGACACCCTTTACACTTCTCTCTTCGTGTAAAGCAATGGCTCTTTCAATTATCTTCTCTCCTTTACTTCTTTCATTCTTTCTTTTCTTCTCTCTTTTGCAGCCATTAACTTTTGCCTCACAAAAGGTGAGCAACCATATTTTGCTTTTCTCTGTTTGTGATCATATCGTTCCTCTGCTTTTGATTCTTCAAAATGGTGTGGTGTTCTTCTTTTATGCCTTCATGAACTTTCAATGATTTATTCTGTACTAAAACTCAACATCGGATATTGATAACTTCTTTGAATTTCTCATTTCCATTTTGGAAACTAAAGTAGTATGTATTTGATCAATGGCCTTAAGGTTGAATTTTTCTCGAGCAGTCTTATGTAGTTTATTTGGGATCACATTCACATGGCTTGGAGCCTACTCAGCCCGATATCGAGCGTGTCACAGATTCTCATTATGAGTTGCTGGGATCATTCACTGAAGGGTATGCGTGTATTTTTGAAGAATTCTTTTCTTTTGTTTGTCTCTTACTTCTGCTCATTTTGTTGCAATCCTTACTTGACAGTAAAGAGAAGGCGAAGGAGAAAATATTTTACTCTTACACCAACAACATAAATGGCTTCGCTGCCGTCCTAGAAGAGGAAGAGGCATCATCCCTTGCCAGTAAGAGTTTGAACTCGTACATTCTTGTCTTTCATGTTAAATTAGTGATCAATCATTAGCAGAAGAGAGACAAATCTTTTTTTGACTCTGTTTTGTCACTGGTTTCATTGTAACTGCCATTTTAGGATACAGTACTTATCTCTGCTAATGGTTTCTCTTTTTT